AAAAGAGCAGAACAGAAGATTTCAAAGGGCAGCTTGAGAAAACAAAGTCAATTATTATAATGAAAAGTGCAAAGACCTGGAGTTAGAAGACCAAAGGGAACAAAGACCCTAGGCATTTCTCAAACTGAAAGACCTGAAGAAAAAATTCAAGCCAGGACAAGTTGCAATACTGAAAGATTCTATGGGAAAAATATTGAATGATGCAGGAAACATCAAAACAAGATGGAAGGAATACACAGAGTCACTGTACCAAAAAGAACTGGTTGATGTTCATCCATTTCAGGAGGTGGCATATGACGAAGAACCAATGGTATTGAAGGAAAAAGCACTGAAGGAACTGCACTGAAGGAACTGGCAAAGAACAAGGCTGCAGGAATTGACGGAATACTCATTGAGATGTTTCAACAAATGGATGCTGCACTGTAGGCACTCACTCATCTATGCCAAGAAATTTGGAAGACAGCTACCTGGCCAACTGACTGGAAAAGATCCTTATTTTTACCTATTCCAAAGAAGAGCGATCACACAGAATGTGGAAATTATTGAACGATATCATTAATATCACACACAAGTAAAATCTTGCTGAAGATAATCCAAAATGGTTGCAGCAGTATATTGACAGAGAACTTCCAGAAATGCAAGCTGGATTCAGAAAACAACTTGGAACAAGGGATAGTATTGCTGATGTCAGATGTATCTTGGCTGAGAGCAAAGAATAACAGAAAGATGTTTACTTTTGCTTTATTGACTATGCGAAAGCATTTCATTGTGTGGATCATAACAAATTATGGATAACATTGAGAAGAATGAGAATTCCAGAACACTTGATTGTGCTCATGAGGAACTTGTACATAGACCAGGAGGCTGCCATTCCAACAGAACAAGGGGATACTGTGTGGTTTAAAATCAGGAAGGAAGCGCCTCAAGGTTGGATCATTTCACCATACCTATTCAATCTGTATGCTGAACAAATAATCCAAGAAGCTGGACTATATGAAAAGGAGCATGGTATCAGGATTGAAGGAAGACTCATTAACAACCTGAGATACACAGATGACACAATTTTGCTTGCTGAATGTGAGGATGACTTGAAGCACTTACTGATAGAGATTAAAAACTACAGTCTGTAGTATGGATTACATTTCAACATAAAGAAAATGAAAATCCTCACAACTGGACCAATAAGCAGCATCATGACAAATGGAGAAAAGATTGAAGTTGTTAAAGATTTCATATTACTTGGTTTCACAATCAACCCTCATGAAAGCAACAGTCAAGACATCAGACGATGTATTGCACTGGGCAAATCTGCTGCAAAAGACCTCTTTAAAGTGCTGAAGAGCAAAGATGTTTCTTTGAAGACTAAGGTGTGCCTAACCCAAGCCATGGTATTTTTAATCGTTTCATATGCATGTGAGAGCTGGACAATGAACAAGGAACACTGAAGAAGAGTTGATGCTTTTGAGTCGTGGTGTTGGTGAAGAATACTGAAAATACTATGCACTGCCAAAAGAACTAACAAATCTGTCCTGGAAGAAGTGCAGCTAGAATGCTCTTTGGAAGAGAGAATGGCAGACTTCATCTCACCTACTTTGGTCATGTTGTCAGAAGGGACCATTCCTAAGTGAAGGATATCATGCTTGGTTAAGTGGAGGGTCAATTAAAAAGGGGAAGGCCCTCAACAAGATGGATTAACACAGTGGCTGCAAAGATGGGCTCAGGTCTGACAAGGATTCGGAGTCTAGCACAGGACCAGGCAGTGTTCCATTCCGTTGTACATAGGGTTGCTATGAGTCAGAGCCAACACAACAGCAACTAAGAACCATAACAACATATGAAATCACTGATGCCAAGATACTGGAACTATATAGATAATGTGCAAAAAGGAAAAAAAGGTTAACCCAGCAGGTCAGAGATTGCTATCCTTAGAAAGTCCTGCTTGCAAGGTTGGCCTTTGGCTAGTGTTTGGGAACTTGGATTTTGAGAGGGTTCCACCATTTCCTAAACTATACAAACAATACAGTTTTTGCTGGGCATCTGCCTTCCTTCTGGGAAGTTGAAATTTTGATAAATAGTAGGCAAAGTGTGCCTACATGACCAGTCTCTGATAAAAATTGTGCTCACTAAGTTTATCATGAGCTCCCCTGGTGGACAATAGCTTGTATTATCACAATTTATTGCTGGAGGAATTAAGTTCATCTTATGTGACTCCTTGGAGAAGTGGACTCTTAGGAGCTTTCACCTGGTTTCACCTAGACTTTGCTCTGCTCACCTTTTCCCTTTCCTAAGTGTTGGGCAATCCACTTCCGTAGTGATACCACCTCGGAAACCCAAGGAGGGGTCGCTATGAGTCAGGTCTAACTCGAAGGCATATAACAACAGCAACAAGTATTCTTTATATCCTTTCTCTGTAATAAGTTATAGCTGTGAGTATGACTATATGATGAATTCTGTGAGTCCTTCTAGAAAATCATGGAACCTGGAAGTAGCTTCAGGGACCCCCAACATAGAGAGTTTTAAAGTGTTCATGGAGTGTTGCCCAACTCATTAGAAGGCATGGGTTTATAAATAGAAGACATACAGCAATGAGACTTCTAAGGACTGTTACCTCCTTAATAGGGTAAATGGAACACAGACTTTTGGTGATGGGGACACTGGGGAGGATACTGTACAAAACATTAAAGTGAAGAGAATGAAATTAGATTTGTACAATCCTTTGTCAATATTTCTTTCTCTAGCATTTGAACCTTTTTTTTTTTTTTTTTTTTGTCTACTTCTAATATGCTGGCAAATATCATGAATTCGCAAGAATTTTCTAAGATTCTTTGCAATTCAATATCCTCAATGATGTGGTTAACCCAGGCACCAATGAAATCAAAGCTCCTTCATGGGCAGAGACACCTACATTGGCAAGGCAAGCCTGGCAAAAGCAATGATTAAAAAATGTCACTTAAATTAAAGAAACGCCAAGTAGATCACAGCTCTCCACACATGCCAAATACACATTCTCTTTTCCCTTCTCTTTATCGTTCAACTTGGTCCTCAAAATTAAGAGACTTACAGTGTATGAAAGAATTTGTTTTTTTATTAGAAATGAATTCAATTCATTTTCAAAGAACATCAATGGATATCCAGAACAGGGACCATGAGTGTGATCATGAATGCAAGTGATTCCTTATGCTGATAAACTACTTTTCAATTTACAAAGCAGTTTCTTAACATCATCTCTTTTGATCCTCATAACAAGTCTATGAAGTACATAATAAGACTTTTGCCACTTATGTTCCATGGAACCTAATATGTTAAAAGCCAAGCAGTGATGCACAATAAGACTTACTGGTTGACTGATCAGTAATGGCTTTAGAAAAATTACTGCTTTATAAGTATTAATAATTCCTAAAATCTGTCAGTGGAAGAACAAGTTAAAAAGCAATCCAGGCATTCCAAAGAATTATTAAAATCACAAATTAAGTCATTTCTATGGCCTCTATACCAGGAAATATATTTTTAATGAGGAAATTGAAGCTAATATATAACAGCTGTCCTGTTACCTATTAGGGCAGATTAAATTATTAATGAAAAATATAGCAACTCAGAAATGTAACCTTTAAACACTCTCTTATTACTCTTTTATATACAGTCTTTAAACTGATATTTTAAAAAAACACATTTGGTCATCTTTTGTAGTGTATACTGATCATTTTCTCTGCCACTCACTAGCTGTGGATTCTTCAGGACATTATCTAACCTCCCTTCACAACCAGAGAGTGGAGAGAACAGTAAACTCACATGGCCTGGTCTGTTGTGAGTTTTCCACAGTAGTAGCTAGTATTAAAACCATGAAGGTTTAATGAGTAAATATTTATAGAATGAATATCCAAAGTAGGTATTCAGCCTATATATACCAGTATAGCCATTATAGGTTCTTAAAACATGGAAATATCTTCATACCAGTTAGAAAATAAGTCCTGCTCAAACCTAGACATACTGGAGCCACTGAGGCCAGATGACTCCCTGAAACTACTACCCTGAGGAAATCTTTAATCTTAAACCAAATCATGCCCTGAAGTCATCTTTGAACCAAATAATAGTATAGCATAATTAGGAAAAAAAATATCTGCATTAAGCACTAGACTTATTTAAAGAATTATCTATATGTGATCAACTTGACAACAGCAACTTGAAAAGACTGATGAGAAGCATAGAGAGGCAGTGAGTTTGTGTTAATGATGGTGACTTAGTTGGGAAAAGGTTGTCAGGAAAGATGGTACAACTTAAAGAATATAACTAATGTCACCAAATTGTACCTGCAGAAAATTTGAAATGGTGTATGTATGCTTTGTTGTGTATATTTTCAACAAATTTAAAAAGGAATTCTTGCCAAGAGGGCTCCAAGTGTTCCCTACCATCCCAACTGTCTCAGCTATTCTTCTAAGCCATCTTCAGACTTCTTTATGATATAATAACTAAAGGGTTTATGCTTGGAACAATTGAGTGCCTCCAGGAACCATACTGGATGGTACCTATGCCAGTCAATCCCCCCAAAAAATCTCACCTTCTAGGAATCATCACTGGTTACCCTGAATCAGCCAAACTGAACCTGATTCATAGACTCATGAGCAAAAAATACTGTTGATGTAAGCCGCTGAAATTTGGAGAGTTGTCTGTTATATAGCAATAGCTAAGTAATACTGTTGCTAAGTGATTATCAATATGCAATTCAGTAAATAATATATTAGGTAATAAATCAATTACTTTATAAAAAAAGAAAATATTCGAGGAAAATAAATGGAGAGAAAAAAGAAGGAGAGATAAAAAGGTGTATTAACATGATACCCCAAAATCATGCTTTTTGGTAGAAGTATTTATACCATGGGAATGGGCAAGTGCTGCAAATTAGGCCTTTCTCCACCCCTTGCTGTCTTCACAGGCTCTGCACTAACAACAGAAGATAAAAGCAAAGGCAGCCTTGAGGACAGCACAAGGCAGTGTGTACTCACATTGGTGTTGCACAGCTTATACTGTCTATAGGCCCCAATGCAGGAGATTGCTGTAGACCGGGCAGGCTGCGAGAAACTCTGAGCAGCCCTGTGGGACCCCACACCATTGTTGTTGCTTGTCTCCGGGCTGTGGAAGAGACTCGAGGCTGCAGGGAAGCCTTGGTCATTGGTCAATGGCAGCTGGTAGATGGAAGCTTCTGAGGTCTGCAGTCCAGAGAGAGGATCACTGTCACTTTGGTACACAGAGCTATGCTGGGGGTCCTGGCTGGCTGGCAGACCGTAGCCATGTCTAGGACTGGATGCCCCCTGGGACCTGGAATGTCGAGGTGAAGGTCTCTGTCTCCGAAGCCTCTGTGGCGTGTGTCCAGTGTCTGTCTGCAGTGGTAAGATGTATGGGGCCTTACCATAGCCATACTTGCCAGGGCCAATGGGGCCTCGGGTCCTGCTCCTAAAAGGAGGGAAAGGAGAAGAACAGAGTCATGTGACCTTTCCTGTGAACCCAGAAGCACTGCTCCCTGGTAGAGGAACTGAAGCTTGAGAGAGAGCTTACAGTGCAGTAGGGAGTTAGAAAGAGGACATTCCAGGAGATGGGTGAAACATGGAGAAAGACACAGAGGCTGAAAAGTGGGTGAAGGTGACATCAACAGTCAACAGGGAGAACAGAAGATGATGGGAAGGAACTGGAAAGGAGGTTACAAAAGCAAGCTACAGTCAGTGTTCAGGTCTTATATCAGGGAATTAGGTATTTTTGTAGGTCATACTGAGCCACATGTATACAAACATGATTGCAATTTCAGCCATAGTACCTTTCCTGTTCACTTTTTTATGGTAATAAAAACAATTGTTTTTCTCACTCAACTGTGCCTAAAATTGCAGATCTTGTTACCATACTATTCATGACCAAAAAGCTTTTCTACATAAATGGAACTTAGCTAAGTAACCAAATTCTAATCAAGCCCAGTAGCTTAACTTGCACTGGGTAAAATTTAACCTGTGCAGAGATTAAAAGAGGTTGAGCAACTGGCTACTACATTCACTCTTCAGGAAACCTTGCTGACCAATGGGTAAATGGTCATCTTCACATTGTTATGGATCTTAAGATTTAGTCAAGACTTGTCGCCTGGTGAGACAATATGAAAATAACATAAACCATAGTGTGCAGGCAAATGTTTAACAACTGGCATTCCAAGGGATGGAGAAAGGACTAATTTGTAGCATTTGCCCATTTCCATGGTGTAAATACTCCTAGCATGGCTGATTTAAAGCTACCAAGGTTGGACAATCTACTTCCATAGTGATACTGCCTTGGCAACCCAAGGAGGGGTCACTATGAGTCAGGTCTGACTCGATGCCACATAACAACAACAACAATGTGAAGATAATCAGCCTTAGCAAACAGATACTAATTAACTGGCTCCAGTACACCACTGCATGCAAATTTATTGTGCAATTACTGTTTGCAAAATTAAGAGCTAAGAATGGTGAAGAAATACAAAAGTGAATCAGACATGCTTCCCAAGACCCCAGGCTTACAACTAAAATATAATAAAGAGTAGAGTACGGGCCATAGAAGCAATGCAAGAATTGGGAATTCTGAGGCAAGAGGAAGAACTTCTGCCTTGAGTGATTTGAAAAGATTTCAGTCATTGGTCTGAGAGATGGAAAGTACAGGTCCCAATACTCTGTGGAAGGACTTAAGTAAGTCATCTAACTCTTACTTATTTGTAAAACGACTGAACTGGATTAAATGACTGCCAAAGTCGCTCCAGCTCTAAAATTATATGCTTCCATAATAATTAATTTTACATTTATGTAAAGTTGGAAATGTGCCCAAGGGTTTCTACAGGATGGCCCCATTAAAATAAGCACACTGAAATAGCAATCAAGGTGAAACATTGATTTCTGCCCTTATGAGGAAATTCTTTCTTCACTCTACATAACCACTGAAAGTAAAATTTAACAGACCACAACTAATTATTAACATCTTTATCACTAATTGCACCTTCATTCTTAGCTGATAGGGTTGTGAATTAAACCATGCTGCAGTGTGTATTTTGCCTTTTGGCATTTCTCAAGTAATCTTGGCAATGCTAGGGACTCTATTAATGATGGAGGATCCAGCAAGCTGCTTTAAGAGATGCAATTAAGAAGTTAGTCTTAAAATATATACATAACTTGGATATAATTTGCCTTTTTCCCTCTTGTGGTAGGCCAGGTAAAATGAATGACATCATGCAAAACTAAAGAAAAAAGAATTTCCATGTGTGTGTGTGTGTGCGTGTGCATGTGTGTGTGAAGAGCTGAATACCTACCAAAAATTCTAGCCCCAAAGTAAGTACTAAGTGGAGACCCCCAACTGAAGGTAATAGAGAGCTGACGACACATGAAACAGTGCTTCTCAAGCATGAATGTGCTCATAACCACCTGGAAATCTTACTGAAATGCAGACTCTGATTTGGGAGGTCTGGGGCAGGGCCTGACATTCTGCGTTTCTAACAAGCTCCCAGGTGATTCTGATGCTACTGGTCCACAGACCAACCACTATGGAAAACAAAATCATAGAACAGAATGGAAATTCCAAATAAAAGGATGAATGTTCAGTGCAAAAACAAAAGCAAAAAGGATCATGTTTAGGGGAGAAAGGTGACTATGAGATTTTAAAAAGGAGCTCTGAGTTTATGGCATATATAAAAGAACTGTACAACCTGGAGGGGTGGCTCTGATGCTCATGGAGCTCTGAAGAATGGACATAGGCTTGATTTTACCCTTGGGGAGCCCAGGAATCAGAGGAAGAACATGCTGTTGGTTGATGATATGTGTGTCTCTTCAAAGGCTGCCCATCACCATTAAGAGAGTAACATAACATGCACAAATGAGTATTTCTGTATTTCCATTGCCTTATGTTAGGCTCTGCCTTAACCAGAGAACCATTCAAACCCACCAACATCATTGGAAAGACAACAATTCCCAAAGCAAATGATCAATTACTTATGACAAGCCGACTAAGGAGAAAGCAGCCAATCAGGGTGTGATGATGAGAGATATGATTTCTGAGAACTTGATTTGGAACACTTGGACAGTGGCAGATTCATTCCCAAGTGGTACATTTGTTTCAATGCTAATAATCCTGATGCTTTGGAATGGCCTCTTCCCCACTAAAAGAGTCCATCTGGCCATTTGCAAGGGGCCTACTGGAACTGGGAAGAGTGGTGATAATAAGCAGATGTGGCTGAGGAGATCCATGGAGCCAGTTATGCTTCTATAAGAGCATGTGATGGGTACCTGTGGAGGAGATGAAGCTGATAAGTAGATTAGTTCACCTTACTCCTCCATAACCCTCCATAACCCATCTCTGGCAGCTTACATGGATTGTGCTTTTGGTTCCCTAAAATTCAAAGCTCTGTCTAATTTCTAAAAGTTGGGCCTTGAAAAAGCAATGGGAAACACGTGGTTTGGAGACTGAAGATGCAGGAAGCAGCACAGCATACTGGAGTAGTTAACATGGTCTCTGAAGCCAGGTTTTCTGGGTTTGAATCCCAGGTCTGCCACTTAGTACTTCTGAAACTTTTAGTCAGTTAGATGATCTTTATATACCTCAGTTTCTTTAAACAGAACCAAGATTAGGGTTAGGAAAGTAAGGCATCTAGGGTACAACATTTAAGGAAGCTTTTACTCTCAGTGTTGTCCAAGTGCTGGTTGGAATATGGGCATGATTGTCTCATTAAATTTTTTGCTCTATGCACTGCATTGGTCTCACCCAAGCCTAGGTTCTATATTATTTATAAATTAACATTATTCTATTACCCTCCTTATGTTGTTGTTGTTATATGCCGTCGAGTCAGACCCGACTCACAGCGACCCCTCCTTGGGTTTCCGAGGCAGTATCACTACAGGAGTAGATTGCCCAACCTTCCTTCCAAGGAGTAGCTGGTGGGTTTGGACCACCAGGCTTCTAGTTATCAGTCAAGTGCATTAGGCACTATGCCACCAGAGCTCCTACCCTCCTTATAGGTTGTAAAGATTAAACACATTCATAAGAGCACAGGATTTAAGCAACGGCTGGCACAGAGTATGTATTATACAAGTGTTTGCTTTAAAAACAAAAAAAGAAAGAAAAAGTTTTAGTTTGGCCATTTATTAGCTCTACAAATTTTGGCAAAAGTGTGCCCTCACTTTTCTTACCTATAAAAAGAGAGTGTGACTACTTTGTATCCAGTAGGGTGGCTATAATAAAAAATATGAATAATAACAAGTGTTGGTGAAGATGTGGAAAAATTGGAACCCTCATACATTGCTGGTAGGACTGAAAAATGGTGCAGATCATTGGAAAATAGCTTGGCAGTTCCTCAAAAGGTTAAACATAGTTATCCTATGACCCACCAATCCACTCCTAGGCAAATACTCAAGACAACTGAAAACATACACACAAAAAAAACTTGTACACATGATTTTAGCAGCATTATTCAGAATAGCAAGAAAGTGGAAAATGCCTATCATAAACAAAACTCTCTCTCTCTCTCTCTCTCTCTCTCTGTGTGTGTATGAATATGATTCAACCATAAACAGAAATGAAATACTGATACATACTACAGCGTGGCTGAACCTTGAAAACATTATGCTGAGTTAAAGAAGCCAGACACAAAAGGCCATATATTGTATGATACCACTTACATGAAATATCCAGAATAGAAAAATTCTTAGAGACAGAAAGTAGATTAGTGGTTACCTAGGGTTGGGGAGATGAAGGAGGTGATATGGAGTGATCATTATTGGGTATAAGCTCTAATTTTAAAATAATAAATATGTTCTAGAATTAGATACTGGTGATGGTTGCACAACCTTACAAATACATTAAAAAGCAGTGAATTGTATACTTTAAAAGGATTAATTTTATAGCATGTGAATTATGTCTCAAAAAACTTTTGTTAAAAAAAAAAAAGGAGTTATTTTTTCAAAAAATTGAGAGCCTGAATAATTACCATCTTACCTACTTACAAGGATACTGTGAAAATCAAACTGAGTTGACCAATGGGAAAAAAATATTTTTTGCAACCCAAAAGCAGTTTTAATCACTTGTTTCAACAACATTTAACAAACTTTTATTTAGCTCTTTCTATGAGCATAATGTGTGATTTTTTTTTTATTTGCTCACATTTCCAGCCTTGACTACATAAGAAAATTCAGAAACTCCATCCTACTAAGTATGGCTCAATGACAAGAACAGGACAGTAAGGGTTCTGACACCAGGTTCCAGTCCTGTTCTTATACTGACCTATGTCGAAAACATTTTTCTTGAGATAATTATGACTGAAAATAGCATTCTGGAAAGGGCAATGAGCACATAAAATACATTTTCTTGAAACATGCTAGATGACATCCAGTACCTCATTGTGTATGATTATGGCCACCCTTCTGATGTGAAAACCCTGACCAGTCAGTGTCACGATT